CCCCTGCTGCCCACCCCGTCATCCGCCGGCCCCTGCTGCTGCGGCTCAGGCAGGCTCTGAGGGTGCTTTGGAATGAATTCACACTGCTTTAGGGAGCCTTTGTCTCAGGCACGAGCTTATTAACCCGTGGGCATCAGCAGCTCAGAGTTACTGGTTAGCATTTTCTCCTCTGCCCCCTCCTGGGGGTGCTGGGCTCACAGTTGGACGTGATGATCTTAAAGGTCTCTTCCAACCAGAACGACCCTACGACCCCGTGACTCTGCGGCTCTCAGGGGTCAGCAGCACCAATGTGTTGGCCTTAGTGGAGTGTAATAGACTAGCTTTCTCCACATTCACCATCAAAATATCTCCAGTTATGGTGCTGGAGCATTCTCAAACAAATACTCTATATTACAGGAATAAATCAAGTTAAATATCAGCCTTTTCTGCACCAAAAAAAAAAAGATAAAAGAATGCAGTCTACCTTCCAGAGAGTGAGCTGGCAGATGGAGGTCCCCACAGAGCCAGCAGCAAGGTTTAGGGGGTGGGAAAGTGCCCTGGTTTGGAAAACAGCTCAGGGGCAGGGCTCAGGCGTGCAGTCCTGGCTCAGGGTGTCCAGCCCCTGGGCACAGGCTGCCCTTGGAGCTCCTTGGTGGTCCTGGGTCTCCTTGGGCTGGCTGCAGGGCCCCAGGAGCTCCCAGGAGCTGTAGCTGGTGGCAGTTCTCAGCTGGGCTGGCACAGGGAAGGGAGATGTTCCTGACTGAAGAAGGCAGCACTTGGCACAGCCCACCCCAGGTTTGCTTTGCTGTAGTATAAATAGAGGAATGTTAAATTATGTGGCTTGCTCATATTTTTGCAGCTAATCAATCTGTCATGCTATGAAGCTGTCAGTCTTTTCTAGGGGGTTTTATGGTGTTTTTCTGAGCAGGGCTGATTCTTTTGCCTCTGCAGTTGTGGATTACAGTGCAATGGGAGACAATTTTCATGTCTGTGATAATCTTCAAGCTGTAAAATGCTTTCCTCTCCTCTCTGGGTGTGAGCAGTGGCAGAAGGGCTGGCAGGTGGCACATGTGGGCAAGGACTCAGTCTCTGACTTGCCAAGTTGTGCTCTGGCCCCTGGGCACATGGTGAAGTTTGGGTGCAGGCTCCCTCCTTCACAACGTGCATCCTGTGCACAGCTCTGTGCAGGGGGGATCAAGCTGCACAGGGTGCATCCAACTGGTTCAGTCTTCTTATATTTCCAGTGCAAATGGAGAACAGTGAGGGGCTGGAGCATGTCTGGAGAAGGGCAACAGAGCTGGGAAGAGACTAGAGCCCAAGTGTGGGGAGGAGCAGCTGAGGGAGCGGGGGGTGCTGAGCCTGGAGCAAAGGAGGCTCCGGCGAGAACTTCTGGCTCTGCACAGCTCCTGACAGGAGCCTGGAGCCAGGGGGGGGTCGGGCTCTGCTCCCAAGGAACAAGTGATAGCACAAGAGGGAACAGCCTCAGGTTGTGCCAGGGGAGGTTGAGGTTGTCCCTGAGGAACAATTTCTTGCCCTGGCGGGTTGCCCAGGGCTGTGCCAGGCTGCCCAGGGCAGTGGTGGAGTCCCCACCCCTGGAGGGGTTTCCAAGCCGTGGAGATGTGGAGTGAGGGACACGGGGCAGTGGGGACCTGGCAGGGCTGGGTCACCAGCTGGACTTGATGTGCAGCCCTGAGCTGGGAGCGGGCTGGGCTCTGGCTCTGGCTCCACGCTGCAGGTTTCAGCTGGCACCGGGCAGGCTCGGGGAGACCTGGCCTTGGGGTGATCCTGTAGAGCCCACAGGCTGAGAGCAGCCCTGTCCTCTGCTCCTGCCTGAGCACAGCTCCTGCCTGTCGCTGCGGGTGCAGGAGGGGTTTTCTCGCCTTGCCTCAGCCCAGGGCCTGCAGATCTCTCCTGCCCGTGCAGACTGGCAGCGATCAGAGCACCCCGAACTGTTAGTCTTGACGGGCACTGCTGGAGCTGCTCGCTCTGCCAGCCCAGGCATGAGGAAGAACACAGCCCTGCGTGGTGCTCAGCACCCCCAGTGCCCTCGCTGGGGGTGGATCGATGCCCGGGTTTGGCAGCTGCAAAGTCCTTTTGCCCTTTATGCTCCATCCAGGCGGGGCTGCCTGGCTCTGCTGTGCTCTGGGACTGCCTGAGCCCCTGCACGGGAGGGTGCAGCCTGTCAGTGCCCTGGGGCAGATCTTTGCATCTGCTGTGGTACCACCTCTGCCTCTAGAGACCCAGCTGCTGGCCGTGGCTGTGTCCTGGGTCAGGTGGCATCCTGCTGAGATCCTGGTGGCACCCACCACGCTCCCCAGGGCTTCCTCCCGTGCAGGACAGGCTCTGAGTATTGCTGATGCATAGAAAGCACCTACTCACAGGTTACAGTCTTCATCTTCCCACAAAGTGTGTTCTTGGACCAGTCACTTCTCTTTCTCCAGCACCTCTGAATGGCCAAACCCCATCTGCTTTTATCACTTAAACATCAGCTCTCTGATGCCCCTTTTTAGCACCTCTGCACGGTGACTTGTAAATCTCAGCTCATGTGGCAATGGTGAAGGTGAATGAGGCAGTGACCTGAAGTGGCTCAGTTTGTGCAGAATCACAGGGGGGGCAGAGGTGCAGGCTCTGTGTCTGCTGCCCTGGCACCAGTCTGTCCATGCCCACAGGCACTCCCGAGCTCATGGATTAGGTGCCAAGGGCTGTGGAAAGACACCTCAGGGAGCTGGTAGCAGGAAAGGATGAAGCACAGATCTGGTCCCAGTGCCTGTGCAGCACGCAGAGCTGCTCCAGGCTCCGGGTTCTCATCCTTCTTCAAACATCAGCAGGCAAATGGATCAGTCCCTGAGGGCAGTGGCTCGCTGTCACTGCTCCAGCAGCCCTGCTGCCAGGCGAGGGTGGCGTGTGCCCGCTGCCACCCCGGCCCTGCTGGCGGAATGGAGATGTCAGTGGCTTCCCCAGGCGCCTGGCCGAGCAGCCCTGGTGCCTTTCCCAGCTAATCCTGACAGGCAGCGTGTCAAGGACAGGCAGCAGCTCCAGGGCTGCAGCCAAGTGCCTGGAACGAGCCAGAGCCGCTGGCTTGCCAAAAGTGCTCTTGCCCGTTCTGCTGGTGTGCTCACTCCAGCAAGTGGGTGGGCACTGAAGACCTCGGGCTGTGTCCCCTGCCTTGTCCCCACTCCTCGGGCTGTGTCCCCTGCCCTGCCACCCTTTGTCTCCCTGGGGCTGCCAAGAGGGCTAATTCCACTGTCCTTAGTATCTCAGAGGTCATCCCTGAGACCTGCTCACGCTTCCTCTGCCAATCTGCTGCAGCCTGAAATCCATCTCAGTTCCACCCTATTGGTGGTGACTTCTTGCAATTTATTTTCCAAACATCCCAGCTCCTGTTCCTGATGTGACTGGGAGGATTTCTGCAGCCTCTTTCAAATGGAAGGCAATTCAGTTCCACTGAGCCCTCGAGCCTGACGTGGTGAGGGAGAATGGGAAGCAGAGTGTGGTTCCAGAGTCTTTATTTCGCCGGCAGCCCGAGGAGCAGCTTACGCGGGTGGAACGTGGTGGATCGGGCTGAGCATCCACACTGGGGATTAACGAGGGGGATTTGCACCCACAGAAGCAGAGCATCCCATTTATTGTAATAAATAAACCTGCAAATGGGTGAAAATGGTTTAAAATGGGAGGTTGGATGGATTCTTCTGGATGAGAAGAGCTTCGGTTGGGTGACAGAGCAGCACGTAATTGGGTTTTGATCACTGTGTGTTACGGAGGCAGAGAAAATCTTGCTGTTTTTTTCTTACAACTGGCTATATACTGACTCTGTTCCACTTTAATAATTCAATGGACCCTGTGTCCAGGCTCTTGACGCCCTGAGGGTGCCACACTGGGGCCTGGCTTGGGGTGATGAAGGGTGATCTGTGCCCCAGCCATCAGCAGACCCCTTGGGCTGGGCTGGAAGCGATGTGGCAGCGAGGCAATGCATGCCTCTTGTTAGATGTTGGGTTCCTAAATACTTTAGGAGGTACCAGTGGTAGCTTTCTGCATCATTTGGCACCTGAGTCACCTTTCAGGGTCATGACAGGAGCCACAGGATAATCAGCAGCTGGTATTTGTGACTGTTGGCCATGGCCAGCTAGAAGCGTTGCAGCTGCAGGTGTTCCTCACCTGCTGTGTGTCCTGTCCCTCGTGCAGGTGATGCTGGCAGAGAGGAAGGGCACGGACGAGCTCTACGCCGTGAAGATCTTGAAGAAGGATGTGGTTATCCAGGACGATGACGTAGAGTGCACGATGGTGGAAAAACGTGTCCTGGCTCTCTCCGGGAAGCCTCCGTTCCTGACCCAGCTCCACTCCTGCTTCCAGACCATGGTGAGTGTCCCTGCCACAGCCTGGCCCTGGGCAAGGGGGACCCTGCTGGGCCCTGAACGTTGAGCCGGGAGGTCTCTGATGCTTTGCAAAATGGATTTGAGTCATTTGGCTTCACTGGTGAGTTTGTGAGTGGATACCCCCTTCTAGAGACCCAGTGTCACCGTTATTTGGGACCAGTGCCTCTCTGGCTGGCTGCAGGGTGCCCGGGAGCTGTGCAGATGCAGCTGTAGGGACTTGATCATGTATTTTAGCTTCTCTACACCATACCTGTGTGTTTGTTCACGTTTCTTTTCTGGGCAGACACCACTATGCTTGCAAAAGTGACCTTGTATATTCTGCCGTGGCAGCCCCACAACGTGTCAAATTTCCTTGTAAAAGTGCCTCTGAGAACCAAAGGTGTGTGTAAAGCTGGAGGCAGTAACGTACAGTACCTGCACCCCTGAGAGGTCTCTGTCAGGGAGCTGCTGGTGGCATCAGATGTGGTTTCCCAAGTGCCACCCAGCCCGTGATGTTTGATGTGATTCAATTGCAAAGTGCTGAGCTTTGCCTCGGGGTTCCTTCTTGTGGTCAAAAACCTGAGTGGAGAGTGAAACCCCATGCAAAAAACCATAAATGCAGGAAATTGGGTTTGAAAGGGGCATGGGACTGGGTTTGTACAGATCAGAAGCGGGGACGGGGGCCTTTAAAGCCACCTCTGCTCAGCCATCCAGAGCCCTGTGAATGAAAACCTCCAGGTACGTGTCAGCAGGAGCAGGGAGAGGGAAGCAGCAAGGTCCTTTAGCAGGGTGACAATGCTATCCAGGAGGATTACATTTTAATATTATCCCAGAAATTTCATTTACCAAACACATTCAGTGTATTTCAAGCCTGCGGACCGGCTCTGCAGCACTGTAATCAAAATGTGGCAGGAGAAGCTATTTCACACAGCATCTCTCTGGCATCTGAAGTGAGTCAGCGCAGGATTATTCCTGGCAGACCTATAGTAGCTTAATAGTAATCGTATTTGTAATGTAATCAAAATGTATAGCAGGGTGTATTATCAACTGCCGGCACAAAGCACTTTGATTTCTGGAGGCGCAGGCTGGAGCACTCTTCTCAGCCAGGCTGTTAGTTCAGCCGACTGGTGGGAGAGAGAAAAGCCCCAAATCTGCATTTTAAAGAGAAGGTGAAGATGAGTGATGAGAGAGAAGCCCTGTGCTGGTCTGGCTGAGGGATCACGGGGTGCTCTGTCCCCAGGAGGTGCTGGCTCAGAGCCTGGGTGCCGGGAGGGGGTTCCCTGGGTGTCCCTGGGCCAGTGGTGCCTTTGCTGATGAGCTCCCTTCCCCCTGGGGCTCAGCAGGGACACGGAGACATGGCAGAGAGCCGGTGGCTGGGGAGCTTGGCGGCTGCCCTGGCCCTGGCTCTTGTTCTCAGTGGGGAGCCGGGCAGGAGATGGACCCAAGGAGTGGTTACTCAGGAGGAGGGTGGTGTTGGAGGCAGCCCGGGGAGCTGTGTCTTGGCTGCCCGAGGTGGGGGGTGGGTGTTGTGCCAGCTCCATGCCAGCCTCTGCAGAGGGTGTTTATGTATCCATAACTCTGTTGCTCGGTGAGGTGGGGTGCTCCACACTTGGACAGACCCCTCCTGCTCTGCCAGAGCCAGGGGCCAGGAGCCAGGCCAGCGTTCCATCTCCATCCTCCCCCAGCCTGTGGGCTGCCCAGCCATCTGGCTGCTTTAGTCAGGACATTTTTATTTCTCTGAAGCACCAGCGTTCTCTTTTCCACCCAAGTGAGGAAAGCACAAATCCTGCTTTTAGAGCTCAGCTGGCTGCTTGAGGAGACCAACTTTATAATATTCTTCCTCCTTGAAGTCGGCCGATATATTTAGGAAGCAGCTGCAGGCGAGCCCAGTGCTGCTCTGCTTCCCAGTCACTGTCAGGGGATGGTGGCTGCTGAAGGTGCCTTTGGCACCGACCCTGCAGAGGGCTCTGCTCCCACACTGCTGGGCACCCCACACGCCCAAATCTCCTCCCTACCCCATCAGTGCCACGTGCTTTCCACAGCCCGATGCTGCCGGGGGGGCTGTGCTGCTGTGGGGGGCTGCAGTGACTCCATGGCCCTTATTATGGTAACGATGACATTTGCATGTCTTCTGGGCTCCTTACTGTCTTAAGAGTAGGGCAAGGTTTATTTAAAGAGGAACTGAAGACAGGGAAATGTTCTCCATTATTACACACTCCTGCAGACCTGAAGCTCTGGCAGAGCTCCAGCCTTTGTGTCTGTCCTTCCGTGGTCTGGGGGTACCCCTGGGCTCCAGGGATGTCTTTGGACTCCGAGGCCCCACGACTGGTTTCTGAAGGCTGTGGGAAGGTGCCTGTTGTTAGCAGGGTGACTCGGGGCTGGTGCTGCACAGGGCTTTGCTGTTCTCATCCTTAATCAACACACTCAGGTCAGAGCACGGATGTCTGCTGGCAGGGAGAGCCACTCGGACCACAGGTTGTCCCCCTCCTGCATGCACTCCCACTGCTTCCCCCTCCTCAGGGAACGTCCTGCAGTGGTGTAGGTGGGTGGGTCGGGCAGGCTTGCACAATTTTCTTTACAGTCATTTCCCATTAAAAATCCAGAGCTGTGAACCATCAGGGGAAAGTGGCGTTTCAAGGGCACAGTGAAGGTTTTTGCTGGTGTGGAGCTCCTGCCTGGCCAAATCTTGTGTCTCCCAGGACCTGAGGGCTCATGCTAGAGCTCTGCTTGAGACACAGCCTGCTACAATCCAGCTGCTTTTGTTCTGTTAGTGCATGGTCCTGAGCTTGGTGGGGATGCTCGGGGCTGGTTTCTTGCCTTGATGCTCTCCTTGGGGTTGATCGTGGTCCAGGGTCGATTATAACCTGCCCTTTCTCAGGTTTCTAGCAGTGTTTAGAGGAGTGGGCTGACGTCCAGCAGGACTATCACTGGCCGTGAGTGCAGGAGCTGTGCTGGGTGTGGAAGCCCCTCGCCAGCTCCCTGCAGCCACTGCAGCTCCGGGGCAGTGCCCGGTGCCAGCCCAGCCTGGCTGTGCCAGGGACAGCATGGCACATCACTCTGGAAGCTTACCCAGGAGCTCCTGAGGTCTGTGCCACAGTGGCTGCCACGCTGTGGGAGAGGAGGGGGCTTCCATCTGGAGAGTCTTAATTAATGAAAGTGCACATTACACATCAGAGGCAAAGTCAATGTGTGCTTATGGGTGGCTGTGATTGCACCTGCCAACAAGTGTTCTAATTGATTCAGAGGCACTGATTGACCTGTTTGTTCTGCTCTTAGCAATTACTTAATTAATCAGCCGTGTGTGAAGGTCAGGTTCACCCTCAGGCCAGGCTGGAGGAGCAAGGGGTGCAGCCTCTCCTGCCTCCCCAGCTTGGCTGGGGGCTGCGGGGTCCCTTGTGTGCATCCCCAGCACTGCCAGCGGCTGCTGCCCGGGGGGGGGGG